CAAAATTTTTCCCCTTAGCATCAAACTAATCAGAATCTTCTCACGATTCCAACAGCACCAACCTCATCACCAAAAAATCCCTCACGCGCCCTTATGGGCCTTCACGCTCTGTTTCTGTGATTGGCGCGTCAATCGTTTCCACCATCACTCTCACATGTGCTTCCATGCACACATAGCCACGCCAACTGTTCAGCCATAAGCCACTCAGTCGCTTCCTCTACTAACATCGTCTACCTTATGTCAACCCTACATGCTCGATTTTGGCCTAGCCATGTGCGTGTGGCGTCAGCATCACATCTCACTTACGCCTTCGTGACGTCACCCTCACACCTTCGTGCCATACTCGCTGACAGCAGCCCTATGCTATGTGACGTCAGCCTTAATCACTTCAACCTCTGATTTTGCTTATTCTGTCCAATTTCAGCCTATTTGTTGGGTGGTTCAACTTGGTTCCTACCTAATTTGGACCTTCTGAATCCATTGGTGGACTCGTTTTTGCTGATTCTGCTCCTATAGCACTATTCTTATCTATTTACTTCATCAAACCACTGTTATGGATCGTTATGATGCTTCCTATCCAATCTCTGTTATACTTGATGGCTCCAACTACATGTTATAGGCCCAAGCCATGTCCAGTTTTCTAAAAGGGAAGAAATTCTAGCGCATTATCACTAGTGATGTGGTTAAACCAATAAAAGAGGTTAATGAAATAGCCATCAAATATGAAGATCGTTTAGAGGATTGAGACAGTAAGAATTACCAGATCATTACTTGGCTTCGGAATACATTTGTTACCTCAATCAGTCTACAGTTTGGTCATTTTCAACTTGACACTATGACTACTCCTGCTAAAGACAATTGGGACTTTTTGAAGGAACGTTATCAGACTACTGGTTTTGGTCATGAGTATCAACTTTAGAGTCAGCTTCATCGTATGTGTCAAGAGCCTGATCAATCTGTTAATGGATTTCTCTCTCAAATATATTCTATTTGGGACCAGCTTGCTCTCTCTGAACCTAACTGGCCTTATACTGAAGATATTGCTTTATTCACTAAGTATCGTAATCAGCAATTATTGGTTCAGTTTCCCATGGCTCTCACTATCCAGTTTAAGCTAGTACGCGCATCTTTGCTTCGTTGCACTCCACTGTCCACTCTTGAGCAGGCTATTTCCGAGCTATTATTTGAGGAGACTCATCTTGGCCCTCTTCACACTCATCACGTGGATACAGTTATTGTCATTCTTCAATCACTGAGTTCATTTTCAACCACAACCTAACGGCCCACTACTTGCAATTGTTGTCAGAATGGGCGTTCTTTTTACTCATCCTCTACTTTATTGCCTAGTTAGATCTAGTCGATACTACAACAAGATTAGTCCTGGTCATCTGCAACAAGATTGCTTGCACAATCCAGATCGCTTATCTATTACTCGTCACTTCTCTCGTGGTGCTTCTTCATGAAGTCGTTCACAATGTCCTAGGAATCAGTCTAGATTTCTGCTTGCTCATCGCACTACTGCTATTGCCTCTGAGGAGTCTTTTGAGCCTTTAGATCTGGCTTCTCTTGTCTTTTTCTAACTGATGTTGAAGCCATGTTCAAACAGTTTCTCACCACCTCTGGTACCCTCATACTATTCTGTCTATGATTTCAGGTACATCTTCCTAGTGACTCAACATGTTGCAATCATATGACTTCCAATTCTACTATATTTTCTTCAATCTCTTCCTCTCCTCATATTCCCTCCATTCATACTGCTTATGGTTCTCTTATGTCTATAAGTTATATTGGTTTTGTTTCTACCTCTTATCTATCCTTATCAAATGTTTATCTTATTCATGCTCGCACTTTAAATCTTATCTCTATTAGTCAATTATATGAGCTTGGTCTAACTATCACATTTGCCGCTAATGGTTGTTTGGTATAGGACCCTTAGACGGGACAAACTCTTGGGATCGGCCGTAAGTATGGACGTCTCTATAAGCTCATTTACCTTCATGTTCCAGACTCCACCCCGTTAACTGCTCCTACATTTGCTTCTATCATGTCTTCTTTTAATCTTTGACATTGTCGTTTAGGATATATTTGTGTTAGTTGGTTTAAATCTTTAGTTTCTACTAGTCAGTTGGGTCATGTAATTCCTGATACTTTGGATTGTTTGTCTTATCAACTTGTAAAACAACTTATTTTTATCATTTAATACAAGTACTTCTGTTTCTCATGCACCATTTGATCTTATACATTCTGATATTTGGAAACCGTCACCTACTACCACTATAGGGGGATCATGTTACTTTGTTGATTTTGTTGATGACTTTTTAACGTTTTACATGGTTGTTTCTCATGAAAATTCGATCAAAACTCAAACAACTATGTTACAATTTTGCAAAAATGATCCAAACCTAATTTTCTAAAACCATTAAATTTTTTCGTTCTGATAATGCTATGAAATATAGGGATCTTGATTTTCTCTCCTTCCTTTAGTTTCACGATACTCAGCCTCATCGTTCCTATGCTGGCACATCCCAACAAAATGGACGTGCTGAACGGAAGCATAGGCATATTACACTACTCAAGCTCTTCTTATCTCTTCCTCGTGTCCAGAAAATTTTTGAGGGGAAGTTGCTCTTACTGCTACCTACACTATCAATTGTATTCCCACTCCTACTATCAATAACCAAACTCCTTATGAACGTTTACATGGCACTAATCCTCTATATACAAATCTTTGGGTTTTTGGGTCTGCGTGTTTTGTTCTCCTCCAACCTCATGAATGCACCAAACTTGAACCCCATTCTCGTCTTTGTTGCTTTCTTGGGTATGAGATTGAACATAAAGGCTATCTCTGCTGGGATCTTATCTCTAAATGTCTTCGTATCTCTCATCATGTGGTTTTCTGGGAGTATAAAATGTTTTCATCATTATCCTCATTCCTCTTGTCATCATCTTCTACTTCCATTCTATTTACTAATCCTTCTGTCGATCTCTGCTCTAATGACTTTGATACAGGTTCCTCCCCTCTAGAGACGCCTTTGCCTACACCTGATCATGTCCTGACTACTCCCTCTGATGGTCCTGCTGTTCTCATTCTGGGCCCCTCAATTTCCATTGAGTGTCCCGTTGAGTCTCCTATCACCCTATCAGATCCTCCTTCCACAAGTCGTCTAAGTCGAGTAACTCAACAACCTGCTTATCTTCGTGATTATATTGTTGGATCCACTGCTTTTTCTACTCATGAACCTATCTCCTATCGTGAGGCTTGTACTAATCCTTTTTGACAATAAACTATGACTGATGAACTTCAGGCTCTAGACAAAACTCTTACTTGGGACATTGTTGATTTTCCTCTTAGAAAAACTACGATTGGTTGCAAATGGGTCTACAAAATCAAGACTTACTCTGATGGTTCTATTGAGCGGTACAAAGCTCGCCTTGTTGCAAAAGGCTTTGTTCAGGAATATGGTATTGATTATGAGGAGACCTTTTGCTCCTGTTTCTAGGCTTACCTCTGTTCCCAGCCTGATTGTTGTTGCTACTTCTAGCCACTGGGATCTTTTCCAAATGGATGTGAAAAATGTCTTTCTTAATGGTGATCTTCTTGAGGAGGTCTTTATGCAACCTTCACTTGGGTCTACTTATCTGGCTAATAAAGTTTGCAAACTTCAACGTGCTCTTTATGGTCTCAAACAAGCCCCTCATGCTTGGTTTGCTAAGTTTAGTTCCACCATTCATAATCTTGGCTTTACCTCCGGCTCGTGTGACTCTGCTCTCTTTATTCAGAAGACTGCTCATAGGACCACTCTTTTTCTTCTTCTCTATATGGATGATATGATTATCACTGGTGATGATGTAGCTGGTATTCTTAGTCTCAAACAATCTCTCAGTTGACATTTTGAGATGAAAGACCTTAGTACTCTCAATTATCTCTTGGGTCTTGAAGTCTCCAATGATTCTACTGGTTATTATTTATCACAGGCCAAATATATATCCGATCTTTTGGCTCTACTACTCTTACTGATTGCAAGACTGCCCCTACTCCGATTGATACTTAGACTCGTCTCACTCCTCTTGATGGGGATATTCTCTCAGATGCTACTCTTTATCGCCGGCTAATAGGTAGTCTTGTCTATCTCACCATGACTCGCCCTAACATTGCTTATGCTGTACATCTTGTTAGTCAGTATATGTCGGCTCCCCGCACCCCTCATTACACTGCCATACTTCGCATACTTCGCTATGTCAAAGGTACCATGTTCCATGAACTCCATTATTTTGCTTACTCCTCTCTTAAGCTTCGTGCCTTTTCTAATGCTGATTAGGCTAAGGATCCCACTGATTGACACTTCACTACGGGTTACTATTTCTTCTTAGGAGATTCACTTCTTGCTTGGCGCAGCAAAAAACAAAGTCTCACTGCTCGTTCTAGTACTGAAGCTAAATAGCGTGCTCTTGCTGACACTATTCAGGAACTTCTATGGCTTTGCTGGCTTCTTATTGACATGGGTGTTTCCTTTTCTGGTGCTACTATCTTTATTGTGACAATCAGAATGCTATTCAGATTGCTCATAATGACGTTTTTCATGATCGCACTAAACATATTGAGATTGATTGCCATTTTATTCGACAGCATGTTACTTGTGGCATGGTCCATCTTCTTTCTATTGCTTCTATTGATCAACCTGCTGATATTTTCACCACGTCTCATCCTCATGGCCGTTTCTGTGACTTGATTTCCAAATTCAAATTAGTTGATGTTTATCCTCCTTGAGGGGGATGTTAATATGTATGGTATATATTAGGTTAATATATATGGTCTATATTTAGGTATATATTTAGGCCATAAATTAGGTATATATGTTAGGGATTGATTCCCCGTAAATCTACCTTCCATACTTGATTGTAATACTCTCCTATATATGGGAGTCCTTGTACCTTGATTCATATATGCAATTGATATATATTACTCTCAACCATTGTAACACTTTGTATTTAAAATGCAGATACAAAGAACATTTGTCTTCTCAAACACATCACTGATAGTTGACATCTTTGGTTTTTGAAGTTGAAAGATATGAAGAGTTGAGTAGTAACCGGAGGCCTCGACTAGTCTCTTCTGCAATATTTACAGTCTTTCATTTCTTTGCTCTTGTTGGCATTTGCTTTGTACTTCTTTTATTTTGTATCCTTAAAAAAAAAAAAAAAAAAACAAAAAAACAAAATAAAACAAAACAAAACAAAAAAAGAGAAAAGAAAAGAAAAGAAAAGTAAAGTGAGAAAAAAAGAAAAGAAAAAAAAAAAGAAAGAAAGAAAACAAGACCCAAAAAGGAAAAAGGAAAAAAAGAACACAATACGTACAGAAGAAAAAAAGAAAAAAAGAAAGTGAATCGAAAATGTGTACTCCGCACGCAATTCTGTCTTCAATTACAAGGAAAATCACTAATGTAGTGATTGAATCAGTGGTGCGTCATGTCAGTTTTCTTCTTTTCTACAAGAAGAACCTGAAGGCCTTGGACACTGAAATGAAGATCCTACAAAATCATAGAGGAAAAAATAAAGGAAAAGTTGATGAAGCCCTAACCCGTGGTGAAGATGTTAATGATGACGTTTCAAACTGGCTAAACCAGGTGGACGGGGTGACACAAGCAGTTGAGGAATTTATGGATGAGAAAACTACAAAGGAAAACATGCAGTGTAAGTGCTTTAAACTCTCATGCCCTAATTTCATTTGGCGCTACCGACTGAGCAAGCAAGCCCAAAAGAAGATTCATGATGCCAAAAAACTAAGAGAAGACGGAAGTTTTGAGAGAGTTGCACGCGCAAAGCCACCTCCTTCGGAACTTCAATTCCCGTCTAGTTCGGATTATGTGAGCTTGGATTCAAGAGCATTGGTTTTGAAGAGAATCATGGATGCATTAAAACATTCCACAGTTAACATTGTTGGGATATATGGAACAGGAGGGGTTGGCAAGACGACGATGGTTGAAGAGGTCGGCAAACAAATGAAAGAACACCGGGTTTTTGACGAAGTGGTGATGGTAGCTGTCTCTCAAGATGCAAACGTGTTCAAAATTCAAGGGCGTCTCGCTGACCGTTTGAATCTAAAACTGGATATGGAAACCGAAGTGGGAAGAGCCGCTCAACTCTGGAATAGATTGAACAATGGAAAGAAAAATCTCTTAATATTGGATGATATATGGAAAGAACTGAACTTTAAGGAAATAGGTATTCCTATCACGGATGGAAACAAAGGCTGCAAAGTTGTGCTAACATCTCGAATCCGAAGTGTGTGGAAACATATGAAAGTTGATAGAGACTTTTCAATCCAAGTGTTATCAGACGTAGAAGCATTGGCCCTATTCAGGAAGGTGGTGGGAAATTCTATTGATTCTCCTCATCTACATTTACTAGCAAAGAGGGTGTGTAAAGAGTGTCAAGGCTTGCCGGTTGTTATACTTGCAGTTGGAGCAGCATTGAAAAACAAGGAGAAATATGCCTGGGAAGATGCACTTGATCAATTGAGAAATAGCATGCTAAAAAATGTTGAGGGAATTGACCCAAAAATGTATGCCTCGTTAAAGTTGAGCTACGATTGTCTAGAATCCAAAGATGCAAAATCCTGCTTCTTGCTCTGTTGTCTGTTTCCTGAAGACAACGAGATTTCAATTGATGACTTGGTCAAACATTGCGTGGCGAGGAGGTTGCTGGATCAAAACCCGGATACACTAGAAAAAGCAAGATACAGAGTACTTACAGTGGTCGAAACCCTCAAAACTAGCTGTTTGCTGTTAGACGCCACTGATGAAAATGTCGTCAAAATGCATGATGTCATTCGAGATGTTGCCATTTCAATTGCGAAAGAGCAGGAAGCATTTCTTGTAAAACATGGCGTCCAAGAATGGCTGGAGAAAGGTACATATGAATCTTACTCAGCAATCTCATTAGTGTCCGAAACCATTCATGATGTTCCTAATGAGTTAGGATGTCCACAACTCCACACCTTATTGTTGGAGTATAACAATTCCTTGCTTAAAGTTGCAGACATGTTTTTTAGTGGGATGGATAGACTTGCAGTTTTAGATGTGAGTGGAATAAGTATGGCTCCACTAACATCATCACTTGCAAATTTGGTTAACCTTCGAATGTTACGTCTAAATAAATGCAAGTTGGAAGACATAGCTATACTCAAGGAACTAAAGAATACCCTTGAAATACTTAGCCTTCGGGGTTCTGATATCATGATGTTGCCACCAGAGGTCGGACAATTGATTCGTCTTCGATTGTTAGATTTGGGAAATTGTGACCAACTCACAGTGATTCCACAAGGTATCATATCCAACTTATCTTGCCTTGAAGAATTATACATTTCAGACAGCTTTGATCAATGGGAGGCAACAACAGTCAACAAGGAAATAAGCAATGTGAGCTTGGTTGAGCTAAAGTCATTGACTCGATTAACCACTCTACATATTCATATACCAAATGTGATGCTATTGCCCAAGGACCTTAGATTTGAGAACTTGATCAGATTTAAAATATCTGTGGGTGGTAGATTTGGAAAGAATGAAAATTATTCCTCAACAAGGATCTTGAAACTTGAAGGAATTTCCTTACCAGATGAGCTAATGGTCTTGTTTGACAAAGTTGAAGTGCTATATTTGAAAAAAATACAAGGTTTGAAGAAGGTGGCACATGACAGGTTTTTAAACTTGAAGTTTCTTGAAGTTATCAATTGTGATGACTTGGAACATTTGCTTGGAAAACCAAAATGGTTCATGGAGAGTCATGAACTAAATCCACCAGGGCCTTTCAATAAATTGATTGTATTAAAAGTTCGAGATTGCAATTCCAAACATCTCTTCTCCCCATCCTTCACAAGAGCACTTTTGCAACTCCAAAGGCTGGAAATACAAAATTGCGAGATCATGGAAGAAATAGTTGGAATTGAAGGAGAGAAAGATGAAGGGGAAATAGCGAGTAAGGTAAATTTTAGTCAATTGAAATATATGGAGTTGAGGAATTTGGGTAACCTGATCAGCTTCTACCCTGAAATGAAGAAGACGAGAACATCAGAGGGAAATTCTTCTGTCCATGCAGAGTCTCTTTTTAATGAGAAGGTATGCTTTCTCAACCTTTTATGTATTAATATGGGAATGTCATAACATGATGACTCTTATCTCCCAAACCTTTTCTAAATCAGCCAAAAGAAAATATATTAATGCAATTAACTAATTACAAGTGAGATTACATCAATACAAAAAGTTAAGGTGTTTAAAACTGCATCATAGCAAGATTGCTCTCCCTCTTTCTCTCTCTTCAATTTTCTCTCACAAGTTATTCAATCCTTGTTAATAGCAGTTCTTGTCACTTATGGTCTATCTGTCATTCTAAAATGGATAACCACGATTATAGCATTTTTTTTTTGAAAATTGATGAGCACAAAATTTTTCTCCTTTTCAAATGAGAAATGTTATATATTATCATATTTATTTCACCTCTCATATGTAATCATGCAATAAAAGTAATGTACATGTGTACGACTCACCATATTTTAAAAATAACATGACACTTGCTATTCCATACCAGAAATCACATAGAAAATAAAGAGTTTTGGTTAAATATTTCGATAATAGATAGCACTCCTCTTTCAAATATATAACCGTCTTCAAAAAATCTTCAGCTGACAAATGTCAACATAATTTTCCTTATGTTTTGCCCATATGTTAGGCAACTTAGTAATTTGTTCATTAGGGGGAAATATGAAGGGGAATTGAAGCTCTACATACTGTATTAGAATAGATTTTCTTGATTATTTTTTGGCACATGGCATGGCATTTGAGACTAATAAAAATCAGAAAGCTATGCAACTTAATTTTTTCTTTGTTATTAGGTGATGTATTCAAAATTTTAGCATATTCATTAAGAGGTCAAACTACCATTCAAACAATCTCTTGACTCCTCAACTTTCACATCTTTCTCTTCCAAATTTCCGTCTCACCTCTTTCTATAGATTCAAACACCCGCTACTAGAATGTTGACATGAGAAGTCATTTATTTTTGAAGTTACTAACAAAATGTGTTGTATACAACTTTATAGGTTGGCTTCCCTGCATTGGAGGCATTGGACATTGTCCAGCTGCCTAAAATTATAAAGATTTGGAACAATCAATTACTGCAAGTCCCAGAAATAGAAGCAAGCTCCTTTTGCCAATTGACTGTCATGAAGGTTTGGTGCTGTGAGAAACTGGTGAATGTGGTTCCATCCAATATGCTTCGACCGTTACAGAATCTGAAAGAACTCAATGTAGACAGTTGTGGAACAATGGAAGTCATAGTCTCAAAGAACCCAGAAGGAACAGAAGATGCCAATGATCATATCTTCATATTCCCTCGACTAAGGACTTTGCATCTTTCTGATTGTGAGAACCTTATAAGTTTTTACAGTAGCTCTACAAAATCCCAAGGCCAACCATTCTTCAACCACCAGGTATGGATGTCCCAACTCTTTTAATTAACTACCACCTCCACAAAGAGTTTTTGGGGTGTTTTGTACTGTTTGCTTTTGGTATTTTATTGTTTTTTCTTTGTTTGTTGCTTTGGTTGGTTTCTCACCAACCCTGATATGGTGCTTTGCCTATGATTGCGGCTCGTCTATCGGTGGCAACCTAGTTGGAATCATTTGGTTTAACTATGATGCTTTTTGTTTTGTTTTGTTTTGTTTTTTTTTTTTTTGTATTTTTTGGATCAGCAAAAAATCCTTTTATTGATGAATCATAAGCTTACAAATACAGCAACAAAACCATACCAACTAAGTTGGCACCCAAATGAATACACAATTATATGCTAGCACTAAGCCAGGTTTGGTGAGAAACCAAACAAAAAACAATGAGCAAGGGAAAAAAGGAACAGAAACTAAAAAGCAACACAAAGAATGCTCCACCCAAATCCATCAGTCACCCAAAAGCTCAATCAAATCCAACCTGTCTCCAATAGAATGCTCCAGTAAAATCAGTCCAGCAAACAGATAACACTCCAGCACCTCTGCAGCAGATGCCACACCTGCAGCACAAAAAAAAAAAAAAAACAGTGGCACACACCTGCAGTAGCTACAGCTCTAATCTCCACAGCTCTGCTGCTCCCATTAGGATGGTCCTAAGCATCTCCTAACTTGCTGCAGATTGAATACAACATCATTCACTGAGTAAATAATCCCCAATGTCTTGAGACCTCATCCAAATAGCCACTCTCAGTTTTATACAGTCGTAGAGATCATCAATATTGGGTTGGACATTATTAAAAATGCACTCATTCCTACATTTCCACAACAACTAAAGAACTGCTATAGTAGCACTCTCCATATTTGTGTTTACTTCTTTTTGAACTTCCAACCCAACCACCATTGTAGCAAGCTTTCAATGGATCTAGGAATTGCCCATTGAAGCCCCCACCATCTGGCTATAGCACCATATTCTCCAGACAAATGGGCAGTGGATCATAACATGATCTATTGTTTCTCTTTCCTCTTTGCAAAAGACACAGTTAAGCTCCCCATTTCCTTCCAAAACTCCCATTCTATGCAACATATCAGTTATTTTTAGTCTTCCTTTCCAAGCTAGCTACGAAATGAATTTTGCTTTAGGTGGTGAAAAATTATTCCAGATAACATCAGTTGAGCTACCCAAAGGACCATTATTCACTTCACCCCAGCAATAGGAATAGTTAGCTTGAATGCCCCTAATTGTGAAGACTTCCAAATGAGCCTATCTTCAAATTCAGACTCAAACATGGACCTGCTCGCAGAGAAGGGAGCAATCTACCAACCTCCTCTTCCTCCCATGCCAAAAGGGGTCTTCTAAAAGACAAACTCTATTCTCCATGATTAAGTCTCCTAGAAACTTGCAAGCTCAGTGATATGTCTTTGTCTTCATTCAGCTGAAACAATCTTGGGAATTGGGACATTAGACTTGAGGAGCCCATCCAGTTTTTCTCCAAAAGAACACTCTTTTACCATTCCCAACTCTAAGTTCCACATTATCCATGTAGAATTGATATAGGCTATCATTCCTCTAAGCCACAGCCAAAATATCATTCCATACTTTAGAAACAGAGGCAGATTCAACTGAAAAGGGAAACTACCTACCTTCCACTGAGACATACTTCTCGCAAATAATCTGCTTCCAAAGTGCATCATCTTGTTGACCATACCTCCACCACTACTTCATTAATAGACTGTCATGCTAATCTGATATTCTTGATCCCCAAACCTCCTTGTTTCTTGTTCTTTGTTGCCTCTTTCCATTTCACTAGGTGTATCTTTCTTTGTACACTAGCTGCCCTGTGTTGCCCTTTATTGATGTTTCCTCCCTGCATGGTTTCGTTGATTCATCAATAAAACTTTTTGCTGATAAAAAATTAAAAATAAAAATTCCAATCCAATCTGATTTGAATATATTTGAATTATATCCAAATCCGATCAAAGGTAAAATGACTTCAACGTATACATACTACAATATTTAAGCAAACTCAATATTAATCGGGGCAAAATATGTATGAATTGTATATATAACAATGCAATATTTCTAAGTAGATATGAACCTTCTGCCGGGAAAAAAATATATATATATAAATTAAATTAAATTGAAGATAATAGTGATTATCATGCTATTATTGACACGTGATATCATAATCTATCTTTAACCTATATGTATCTTCTACCTATCTGCTATTATAAAGTGAAGTGAAGGCTTCCTGTGGTGTTGACAATTTGTGACATTTTCATTTCCGAAACTGTCCTCCTTAACCAATTTAAACCTTCAGTCTAGAAAACAACATCTTTACTACTTAAGCAGCGTAAAGAAAAGGCTTCTGTTGGTGTTTAAAAAAAAAAAAAAACTCTCAACTTCTGATTTTTTCAGTTCATTTCAATTTTTATATTTTGCTTATTTTCTAAAATAAAATGATCACATGTGCATGTGTTGTGTGCACCCCCATTTCTAATCTAATAATATGTTACATGCAGCCTGCCATGTTTATGTGGCATTTTTCAAATTATTATGAAAAGGATTATTATTAATCGACATTTAATATTTCTCCATAAACTCCTTACACTAAACCTTCCTCGAAAACCAAAGAGTACAACTTGAGGTAAGCTCTAGTTAAACCAAGAACGGTTATATTGTGTACATATGTTCATTTTAATACTATTATAGTTAGTACCTACCATTGTTTATTCTATATTTAATTTAGGAAAAATAATTAAAAAAATCTTAGGATTTGACCTTTATAATAAAATAAATCTTAAATTTTTATTTTACCAATTTAAATCTTAAATTTTTTATTTGTTTTTAATTTAAACCATTCGTCTATTTCTATCAAGTAAAATCGACCAAAAAAAAAAAAAAAAGAGAGAATATTTTAACCATTGAACTCAATATAGGTGTATGTCTAAAATACCATTTTTATTGGTTTAATAAGTAAAATATGATTTTTTTTACTCAACGAAAATAAATAAATAGTTTAAATTGAAAGAAAATAAAAAAAAATAGGGTTTAAATTAATAAAATTAAAAATTAAAAATTTATTTTATTATGAAGGTCAAACTTCGAAAAAAAAATATTTCCCTTAATTTATTATCTCATGTGACACATCTAAAACCATAGTTGAGCTTATATGGGACCTATTATACTTATGACTCGTAAACTATAAATGCAGTATAAACAGATGGTAAAGAGCGAAATTGTGATGTAATTAATATCTAATATTTTTTTTAAACCTCAAGTGGTTGACTTAGTGAGTGTAGCTTGGGGTCTAAAGATGTGCTTCCTCCATATGTCAGTTTCAACTCCTACTAGATACTATCAAGTCTTTGAGGCCATAATCTTGGACTCCGCCTGAGATTTGCCTGATCGACATGTAGTGGGCACTTTATGTGAATCTCGGAATTAATTGAGATCCACGTAAACTGGCCTGGACAGCCGGTAAAAAAATAAAAATAAAGTCATTTTAACATTTTGTATGTAAACGTTGCAGGTTGCATTACCTACGTTGGAAGTACTTGAAATTGAAAGAATGCCAAACATAACAGAGATATGGGACAAGAAATTAGTCCCAGATGCAAGGTCCTTTTGTGAACTAAGCAGACTGATGCTTTGGCATTGTGACAAACTTGTGAATGCGTTCCCATCCAATATGCTCCCGCAGTTACAAAATCTAAAACTAGTCTCTCTCAATTATTGTTATGAAATGGAAGCGATAGTCTCACAGAAAGAGGAGGAAGAAGTAGAAGCCAATGGTGCTATCATGGTGTTCACTCAACTACGAACCCTCAAACTTGAATCTATGAAGAATCTCAAAACTTTCTACACCTCCAGTTCTGATGCACAGCCATTTTTCAATCACCAGGTACCAATATCGTTACCTTTTTACCACAGGATGAGTTTTTCTAATTTTTTTTTTTTTTTTTTATCAGCAAAAATGCAACTTTATTGATGAAAATCAAGATAAACAGTACATGAAACAAACATTTTGGTTTGATTTAACTATAATCTCATAACTAAATCTCAAATTTTGAAATTGATTTTCACTCTTCCTTTCATTTATTTATTATTTTTTGTTCTATCACATTCGATAGAACATTATAATATAAATAATAAAATTGTCCCACTCTTTAATAGATTAAACTTTTAGATGAAGTGGTGGTCAATATTTTAATATGTTATTCAAGCAAGTAATAGATCTTGTGTTCACCGCCTACCCAATTATTAAAAATGATTGCACGTGTTTAGCTTGCTATGATGAAAAGCCTGGTCACACGTGAGAAGCATGTTGGAAATATACTATAAATAATAAAATTGTCGCTGTTTGTAACAGGCTAAGTTTTTAGATGAGTTAATGGTCAACACTTCAATAACCATGGTTCTAAATCACGGTATCAGATAATGCAACGATATCGATTACGGAGTATCGGTATCAATCGTATCGGCTGGTACGTATCGGGAATCAGGGGTTGCGGATATGAAATTTCTTAACCATTTTTTACAGGTTTTTCAACACTTTCTTTCCAATATTAATCTAAACCGGTGAGTATCAGTCTATCGCGGCCTGTGTAACGGCTACACCTCGTCACATAACGGGAACTAGATGGTTATTCAGCGAATTTCATTCACAGCGGTATACCAGTGGATATCCGAAACGATGGATCCATATTCTGTTACGAACGTAATGGCCATTTTTTATAACCTTGTCAATAACTACCAAGAACATTACTCTCATATTCGAGTCTTTTTGTTGCAAGTCTAGTTTCTCCTCTCTTATTTCCCCTACCCAACCAATTGTCCAAAAAGAGAGAGATAGAAAGGTTCCCCAACTAGTTATTTTTATTATAGTAGTTCTCAGTTTTTTTTTTATAATACCAAGTATGTCATATTTGAAGTTTATCATTATTTTTGTAATGATGAATATTTAACTAAAAGGGTAATATTTAAAATTAAAAAAATTCTTTAGCACCATTTATAAATATGCTATTCATCTTATTTTGAAAATTCTATTGTCACTAATTACAGTATAATTAATCAAAAACTTATTAAATACAAATAGTAGCATTAATTATTGCTAAACAAATGTCCAGGCTACTTGCTAGCAGGACCAAAAACAAAAAAATAAAAAATTCTTTGATGATTGATTATGTGAGAGAAATAGATTTGGGCAGACTTGGCTACTAAAGATCATTAAAATGCAAGTTTGATATCATGTTTGAATCTTTAAAAGTATTTAACAAAAAATTAATTAGTACTGATTAAAAGGACTTCTCTAGTATATTAACTAAAGTGGCTTATGGAGATGATAAGTCTCTAACAATTGTATTATAGTTTTGGGGCATTGTCAGGTTGTTTTCGATTTAAACGTAATTGAGTCATTAATCCATCACTATTGTATTGATGTTTACAGAAACCATATATATAGTTGGTGAATGATGTGAAACAATTGCCCAAAAACTTTGTATAATTTTTCTTCGTGCACACAAGCTCTTCCATTGATTGTGTAGTGATGGTTAGTGGAGATTGCTGACATTGGAAGAGTTGTTAATGAAACAAATATGTTGCAGATTGCTTTTCCTGAGTTGAAGGAATTGAGCTTTAGAAGGGTGCCAAAAATAACACAGATTTGGGACAAGCAATTGCTTCCCAAAAAAGCAGAGTCCTTTTGCCAGTTAACAATTGTTAAGGTCTGGTTTTGTGACAAATTGGTGAATTTGGTCCCATACAGTATGCTCCAACAGTTACAGAATCTGGAAGAACTTGATATAGCAGGTTGTCCAAAAATGGAAGTAATAGTCTCCAAGAAAGCAGAAAAAGAAGAAACCGCCAAAAATAATGTCATTGTGTTCTCTCAACTAAATAAACTGAAACTTGGAAATATGGAGAACCTTAGAAGTTTCTACAGCTGCTCTAGCCTATCTGACGCACAACCCTTGTTTAATCACCAGGTACGAATGTCCTAAATCTTCTAAAATGTCCATGGAGAAGCACATTAAAAAGAAGATAGAATTCCAATCTTGTTGTGTCGCAATTATCATTGTTGGATAATGCTGGTTTGGATAAATATTGGGTGTCAAATGTTGCACACTGACTCATATAAAAAATTCAACAATGCTAGAGGGCCACAATGGTTCAAAACTGTCAAAACGACGTCGTTTTGGCATGTTTTGCACCCAAAACGATGTCGTTTTGACAGTTTTGAGCCATTGTAGTCACAAAAATTGTGGCCCTCAAACATTTTCCTAAAAAATTATATATGATGAATGTTGCAGGTTGCATTTCCTGCTTTGGTGTGGTTGGATATTCACATGGTGGCAAACATAACAGAAATATGGGGCAATAAATTATTCCCGGCCAAGTCCTTTGATCAACTGAAGGAGGTTACAGTCTGGAGTTGTTACAAACTCATGAATTTGGCCTCGTCCAACGTGCTCTCACAGTTGAAGAATTTGCAAAAACTCACTATCGAACATTGTCGAAAGATGGAAATGTTAGTCTCAATGAATGGGGAAGAAGAACAAGAACAAGTCTTGTTCCCTCAATTATGGAATTTGAAACTTAAAGGATTGCCAAGTCTCAAAAGTTTTGCCAGTTCTAAATTTGAAACAAAACCCTTCTTCGACTTTGAGGTACGAATGTTCTTACCCTTTTCTTTCAGTGTTGACCATCAAGGTCGGTACAAAATAAATTGAGGTTTAAAGCACCAATTTAAAATGAGACCTTTTGCAATTTTAATATAATTATAATAAAAAAAATATTTAAAACTTGTTTTTCTAGGTTTTTGACTTACAAAATTATTAATTAAGTCTTTATATTCAAATTTTGCTAATAGATCTTTGGGCAAAATTCACCTCCTTGCCGTTATTTATTCTGTCTAAAATGATGGAAAATGTTTCACACTTGCAAACAGTAAGAGCTGATAATGAAAAAGTAGAAGTCAAAGTCAAAAATCAATGTTAAAGACAAGCATGGCCTTCACATTTTATACGAGTTTGTAAGAAAAATGTCATGTCATTGAGTAAATTTAAAAAAAAAAAAAATTTGTAAATTTGTTAGTTCATATAGCATTACTCATATTGTAGATGCCATATTAGTTTGTAAGAGAAATTTGTAAAAAATATTTATTTTGTATATAGCTTACTCATTCAGGATAATAATTTTAGCCTTTTTAAGCAAAACAATGATAAAATTATACGGAACTTAACTATGCTTTTAAAAAATTGGGGGCTTTTTAAAATTTGCGTGATAGTTAAGCCAACTATTCAATGGAAAGTTCTTGAAAACATTAATTTACATATCTAGGTAGAGAATTGTTACAATACACACCCATTAAAAATGGCGTACTCAATTATTTTTAGGAATTTTATAACTTTTTTTGGGTGAATAGGAATTTTATAACATCTAACTAAGATGGACAAGACACGAAAATAGAGAAAAATAAACAAATTAGAACTATAAATCTAAAGCACACATAAAAACACAAGATTTATGTAATTCGTTTTAAAGCTAAGATTATATTTATAATTTGCGGTTTTACTCCGATTAGAAAGAGTAACTAGGAAGACATAGAGACACCAACACCCCCACTTCCCCTTTAAAAAAATATTATATGTATCTATAATTAAAACTACAAATGTAGACATTCGATTTCGACGGGTCATAATCCTCCTCAATGATGAAACTATTACGTTGTATTAGTGGTGCTCCTGTTAAATTGATGGGTCTGCTAGATTACCAAGCCCATTTTGACAACATTTTCACACTTAGACAAAATAATATTTCCAAATTTCTTTCAAGAAAAGAAAAGGAGAGGTGATCCGTTTGATCAGTTTCAAAACTAACCATCAATTAGAAGTTGAGTAACTCAAAATTCAAGCTGGACAGTGAAGCAAAGTGGGGCCCACCGTACAAAATGGTGAGGCTTCACATCTATTGGTCAAACCGTAGGTGTACAAAAGTAGGTTTGCGAGGAAGATTAACCTTTGAGATAAAAAACTAAGTCAAAACTTACCCATATTCACCAACTCTTACTCAAATCTAAATCCAACAACCCTAAACTGTTCTTACGCCACCTAAAGCAATCCAATAACTCTACCTTTGCTAGTTTGTACCACTTTCTTTGGTCTGTTTGAATGAATTAGAGGCAAACTTTGCATTCCTACTGATTTTACATTTCAATTTTTTTTTTTTTTTGTATTTAGTGAATTTTTAAAAAAAATCAAAAAAATTTTACATTTTAAACGTATTTAGATTAGGTGTATCTAAAAAATTTAAAAAAAAATTAGGTAAAATATTTAAAAAAACACACACACAATTTTCCGAAAAGGCAACTCCCTAGAACAAAACATGGTGATTGCATTACATAATCAATAATAAGGCCTCGTTTGGGAACATGCTTTTTTAGTAATTTTTTAATTTTTTGACTAAAATGTGATGTAAAAAATTGATTTTTTCTGAAAAGATGTGCAAAAAGTAGAGAGAAAATGAAAATTTTGACTTTTTGATATAAATTGTTAGCTTTTAGTGACTTTTTGCCTTTTTGGCTAAAATAACTACTTGTCAAACGAGGCTTAAATTTGGATCCATTTAGATAGAGTGCATAACACAGTTCGTCTGGTTATCAGATTTAAAATACTTTTTCTTAAACTGGAAACAAGCTTAATTTTTTTCCCGCGAGAAGAAAGAAAAAGTAGCCAATCAGGTGAAGAGGGGGTCAAGGGGGTGGGAAAAAAAAGGGGGTCCAAGTCATTATTATTTTAAGGACAAAGTTATAAACTTACTCAACTCAGTTAATTAATCTCAATCAATTTAGTGATAATTTCTCTTGAAAAACACTAACAATATTATTAATTGTACCAAATTAAAACAAAATCTAAAATTAATGATCAAAATTGAGCCAATTTTTTTTTTTTTTTTTTTTATCGGCAAAAGGAAAACTTTATTGATGGAAAAGGAAAATTATATCAATAAAGTGGAGCTTGGAGCTAAAACAAGCTCCAACCTCCAAGTTGGTGAGAGACCAACGAGCAAACACAACAGAGAAAAAAAAAACCAGAAAAACAGATAGCTTAGGCACTACAACACCAAAAAGGCACAGATTTACTGAGCTATATGCCATGAATACCCACAGCTCAAACAAAGCATACCAAACACCTAGCCTTGAGCCAATTGATAGTGATACAAAGGGTAAAATCTAGGGTCCATCATTGTAATTTGTCCTTGTATAAATTGGTTTTTTATATTGGACAAACTATAAATTATTTGTTCAATTTTATTTTAATTTTTCATGTGATGCCAGAACTTCTAATTCTTCTATTTAAACTCTTCATATTGTTTTAATTTCAATACGACCCTTCAATGTAAATTATTATATTTAAACCGTCCAACTTGTGTAAGTATTTAAATATACTACGGCCTATTAACAAATGTAGAAAAAATTATTAATCCAACAGATGAAAATTGATGAAGTCAGCATTTTTAAATGTTTACTTCACCCTTCATTATTCTTGTATTCGAATATTAGCTACATCCAAATAATTATGGATATTACATGCTTAAAATCAAATAGACATTCCTAATATCCTTAAAATCGACCACAATTAACCACCATGGACACCAGCTCCCATATCTGTTCTTTTCTCCTTTTCTTTCTCTTTTTAGCCACCACATGCACCGCCTCAATTAGACACTGCCACCTTGATCAAGCACCACATGTATCCCCTTCGGCCCAATTGCTAATCAATCGACCGCCACCACCCTCACCTAGTCAACCAATAGCCAATTAACCTGCACCCAACCACCGTTACCCAATCACCCACCACCACTGTTACCCAATCAACCACCACCACCCTCACCTAGTCAACCAATAGCCAATTAACCGACACCCAACCACCGTTACCCAATCAACCACCAAAAATGTGAAGAATTGAATTCTTCAAGCCCACAAGATATGAAGGTATATTAGCAAGAAAATAGATAACGAGTAGGTTTCAATTAGTCCATGATGGCGATAGGCGAAGGGTGCGAGACTAGTCCATGATGGCAATGGGATAAGAGGATCTATATCAGTCCATAGCATGTTTATAAAAATATAGTATTAATTCTATCAAGGGCATTTTTGTCCTTTCACATCAAAATTAAACGCAACTTTTAAAGGAAAAAGTATGAGTAGAAAAGTAATTTTCTATTTACTATTAGTTTTGTTTATTTCTCTATTATTGAAGTTATTGTTGTTCTCCATTAAAATGTTCCTTCTATCATTCTTGTATTACACATACCATAACATCCTATAACAACCTTTTTTTTTTCTTTTTTTTTATATCAATGGTGATAACGTGAATTTTAAGCTCATCAAATATCACAAATAGGACTCATCATATCATCGTAGAGTTAAAATTTTATTCAACAACCCAACTTCATTTAGTTACTAACCAAAATGATAAAATGAATTTTGGTAGATTGCATTTCCAGAGTTGAAGGATAAATTTCTTGATGACGATTTAAAGCAACTACTTCTGAAAGCAAAGGTAACCAAATCAAATTTATGGTTGATAGATTTGATCATTTGATGAATTCTGTCTTTTGAAATATTTATTAGAAACTACTCAATTAATGCTTCTTATATATATATATATATATATATATTTTCCCATTTATATATAATTCACTTCCTTTCATTTTAGGAATCTAATGATGAAGCAAACATGACGAATCTAGATTCTCTCAATTGCATGGTTGTTGCGGATGACCACCATTATTTCATTTAATGGTTGAAAAATAAGCATATGAAATTTTTTTTATTTCAAATTAAGAAAAAATCATTACAACCAAGTTTAACTCGGTTGTAGTGATTTTTTCTTAATTTGAAATAAAGATAAGTTCATATAATTGTTATACAACTATTAGATGTGTTGTTGGCGGAGCTTGGAAAAAGACTGGGAATAAGCACAAACGGAAATTGGTGTTTTGTTTAGTTTTCAGCTTTCTAAATTGCTTTCAATTATTGGTTTTGATTTTCCTTGTTGGTTTGGTTTGGGTTTGTGTTTCCATCTTGGTTTGGATTTGGATTTTTGGTTAGCACTATAAATAGCCTTATAACTTCATTAGTTATAAGTTTTGTGATCTTAGTGAGAGATACACAATAAAGAGAGATCATTGTGAAGAGAGACTTTGTGAGATTAAATGTAAGAATCTTGTAACTTCTTTTATATTCATCTTAGTGAAACCATAGTGACCCCGTGGATGTAGCCCTTAAATTTGGGCGAACCACGTAAATCACTTGCACTGATTTATGAGTTTGATATTTCTCTTCATCTACTTCTCCATTCTAGAATTATTATGTGCGTTTGTTTGCTCAAGTCCTGGAGTTTGGTATTGATTGTATATACTATAACAAGTGGTATCAAAGCTTTCATTCCTAAAGCAAGATCAATAGTGAATAAAATCAAGATGAAGATAAAAAAAAATTCAACAATTCAAACTTTGGATTGTGGAAGATGCAAATAGAAGATTATCTCTATCAAAAGGATCTTTGTTTTGCTCTTGCAAGAGTAGTGAAGAAGTTGAAAAAGGTGAAAATTGGTGAGCGGGAGTTACTCGATAGCTGCCTTGTCACGGATGTTTGAGAAACCTTCAACCATGAACAAAGTCCATCTAATGAAGTTAACCATTTGAAAATATTAGAAGGAGTAGCGATTGAGCATATTAAGAATTTCAACACACTAATTAGTTACTTGAAATCCATTGAAATCTTGTTTGATAAAGAACCCTCTTGACACCACATTTTTGCCCTCTCTATAAAAAGAGACGTTTTGCTTCTATTTCACTGAAGGATAGCTTTCCCAAGATCACCCAGCTTGAGTCCAGGGCACTTATCCTACCGATTCAACAAAGATATAGGATACAGCCTCTCCAAGAATAATAAGTATGGACCAAGACATGTAATATCTAGTAAGGACTCACTAGAAGCATGAATGCAAACTTAGATGGGATTCAAGTCAAATAGATGTCGCCATTGCATCCAAATATCAAGAACCTTTGGAAGTGTCATAACTAATCAAAGACATTCTCAAGGTAATATTGTCATTTCTTGAGCCATTGAGTCACCAAATAGGTGTTCAGGAAAATTCCTTTTCCTACTATATTCTTATTCTAACGGGCTCATAAAATATTTGATAATCAATTTGAGACCCAAAAGTAGAGCTTTTGACCACCAGAACGCAAAGATCGAGGCATTGTTGTGGCAAATAGTTTCACCACTATATTCAGAATATCAGAGACACTCTGGTGGTATCCTTGTTGATCTTGAGAGGATTCCTTCATTTTTCAAACATGCGAAAAACACCTTGCGAGCTTCCGCAAATTCAAGTATGAATGAGGAAGAATGGAGTTGAACAGACATTGCTATTACAATCAAGGCATCCTAAAACCCTAGGAAATACACCCCTTTATCCTATTTCATTCCTGATAATCTAAAAAAGTATTTGGTAATGTAAGCGCAATCGGCCCCTGGGATTATAGAGTAGGTGTGACGGGCTTATAACTTTCATATTATCATTATATCACGAGATTGTTAAAGATCCAGTCACATAGCATTTTATCAAATCTCACTAAGATCTAACATATAGCTTGCATGGATCTTTTATTATTTTCCCACATAGGCTAAGTGATCAAATAAACAACAATAAAAAAAACTCGATGCCATAATGGGTCATATGCTTAATATGACTAAATAAAAATAATAATGAAAAACAAAGAAAATGCTAGCCTTTTAAAGAGCAGAACCACAATAGGGAACGCCTCACTACCCTCAGGTTTTCTCTTTACTTGGAAGAAATCTCAACTCACCTCAGGATGAACACACCAAAGACTATACTCAAAAACTTTGAACTAGGGTGGTGTAGACACCTCATTTTTGACCTCCCCTACAACTTGGGCACCACCAATTGCGCACCCAATGATAAATTTTTATATGCTTGTCAAATGCTCGAAGTTCTCAGCAGAATGTCTCAGCTTTGAGCCTCAAAACCCTACATACTTTGTGTCTTGTTTTTGGACCAAAACAGTAGTTTTTGAAGCCTAAACATCCTGGGACTTGCAGACCCACTAGTGTGGACTGCCGGCCATTAATGTGGCTTGCCGGCCACTATTAGTGGCTTGCTGGCCACTTGTGTGTTTTTTCAGATCTTTTTGCCAGGTGTGCTATTTATTTCCATAGATACATGCACCAGTCCATACATGTTTGTATAAATATTTCTGAGTTGGTCTCATGTTTTTCTATAAATAGAAGACCCTCTCTCATATTTTAAAAGGTTAGAAATTTTGGAGCAAAAAAAATATTTCTCTCTTGCAAGTTCTTCACTCTTTACTTATACACTCTAAACCAAACCTTGTGGTATTTGTGCTGAGGTGTTTTTGAGCTTGCCTTAGCTCTTGAGGGTGTGTAAGTGTTGGTTTGTAATTCAAAAGGGATATCCCTCTTGAAGAGGTATAATTCTTAGCTTGTTTCCTTTCTTTATTTGCCATATTTCCTACTGTTTTTGGACTGTTTTTACTCTGAATTTTTGGACTGAAACTTGTGGTTTAAGGGTATTAAGGGTGGAGGGGAGGATCACCTTTCTTCGCACCTAACTTCTTAAGTCTTTGCCCTTGTGTTTCCCACCTTTCTATTATCTTTTTTTGAGCTTTTTACTACTAAATCTCAAAAGTTTTTCAGAGGCTAAAATCGTGTTTTGAAGTCCCAAAAATGGAGGGGGTAGCCTCCCTTCCTTGTGCTTGTTTACTAGCTTAACTGGCTCCATGTTGTAGCTTACTCTTTTTGCTCTTTTGACTTCAATTCCAGAACTGTTTTAGCCTATTTTAGGACTGTTTTTATGTGCTTGTTTCATTCATGCTTTGTATTGTAGGCTTGTAATGTCATAGTCCTCATAGGTTTGGTGGTTTAGGCCTTAGCCACCAACCTATTTGAGTTGATAGTGTTTATTTCTTGCTTTCTATACTTGTGTTCATCTCTAATCACCTCTGCAACTTTTCTCTTTTCTTGGCTTTTTCTTTATTTTGAAAGTTTTTTCAAACCAATTACTTGTTTAAGCTTGAGATTAAGGTATTGTGCTTGATGGTTTAATCCCTTTGGGGGTTCATTAGTAACAGCATGGTGTCTCTCTCATACCCAAAATAATTCTTCGTTTGATGCTTCTTTCCATTAGAGGACTTAGAGCTCATTATTGGACTTAATGAACTAAGGAATTGATGGCAATCAAAATGAAGTAATAAAATTGGGATTAAAAGTGATGAAAGATAATAAAGTAATTTGGTGTTCAATCAGACGTTAATTGAACACATGAAAACTTGAGTCATTTCATACTTGTTAGTGATGAAATGGTTCAAGTTTCCAAGGTCAACCACTTCCCTTGATCAATCCATGATAGGGAGGAGGTTTTGTTGGTCTTTCCTTACCATTTATTGAGATTGTGTCCCTTGGTTCATAAGTCATCATGCAATGAAATTGCGTTGATTAATGGCTTGCAAATTAAGCCTACCCCTCATTTGAGCTATTTGATGATAAGGAGAGGCAGGATGGACAAATATCCCCTGAGAATACTCTGTTTGTGCTCTGTATGCTTTCTATTGTAGTAGGAGGAACCAAGTATTGGTGGCCGGAAGGCCACTTTTACTGGCCGGCATACCACTTTTTTTTGGACGGCAGGCTACTTTTTAGTGGCCAGCTGGCCACCACTTCTGGCCTGCCGGGCACTTTTGTCAAACCAAGCAGTACCTTTTTAGCATAGAACAAGCAGAGGTTGAGGTGAAAAAGAGTGTAATTTTTCTAACTGTGCAACAAAGGCATTCTAGTAACAGAAAAGTGAGCATTTTGGGTGAAAATCCGCGTGCATGCATAAGCATTCCTCACTTCCCAGGGTTGATTAGTTAGAGTAGTTAATTACTTAGCCTACTTTTGGTTATATTCATGTTGTAATTGATTAGCTAATTATAATTTGTAATTAATTAGTTAGTGTAATTAATTAGTTTAATTCCAATTTGTAATAATTAGCTAGTATAGTTAATTTATTTAATTTGGTTTGTAATAGCTTCGTAGTAATTAGTTAGCTAGTTAGTTTATTCGGACCATCCTGCACGATGGCACAATTGTAATAATGTGTATGTCTTCCAATCCCACGTCTTTCTCCTTTTTATTTACTTGCTTATGATGGTTAGTTTAGAGCATCATATTTCGTTTAGCATTTCTCATGCCTTGCATCCATTGTCTTGCATGCATTGGGCTCAGCGCATCATTCTAACTAGCATTGTCATTGTTTACACTTTTTTTGAATATGTGCTTTACCATATGCTATCAAATTGATTCATATGCCATATTAGTAGTCGAGCCTAGTAATTGCATATTGTGTGTGTTGCATTAGTCACATTGCATTTTTTCCTAACTCTTTTATCTTTTTTGGCTTGCCTTGGAGTACTAGGTGAGCTTTTATCGCTTTAGCATATTGCATTATATGTTAGTATTGCCATGTTAAGCATGATCACCATGAGGCTAAGTGTTTAAGTGATAAACTGATTGAATGCTTGTGGATAAAGGCTAGTTGCTTGAATTGGAATAGTTTGATTAATGTACATTTGAGCCTACTCTTTCAAGTGGCGCATTTACAATCTCTTTTTCAAAAAACAAACATGAAATCAAATGTTCCAATTTTTGCAAATTAGTCTATACTTATGTGCAACATATAGTAAGTTAGGCTAAATAATAGGAACAAGAGCATATAATGTAAATGAGAATCACATCATGATTAGTAGAGACAGATCTTTGATCGGGCGAGTGGGGGTGCTCAATTCATGACCTTTCCCTCTCGTACCTAATTTCCCGAGTCGAGACAATCTTGGTGATGACGGACACGTGGCCTTCGGCATGAGTCTCGGGTTTCTTAAATTTTTCAAAAATATTTAGGTGGTGACTCTGTATCTGGCAAAGCTGTTTATTTTTGGCATTTTGATCCAAAATCGATTTCTAAAAGATTTGCCGGATTTGGACTCTTTTGTGTTTTTTTCTATTTCACATTGCACTTGTGGAATCAAATTCAGAACCATAGAAGTTCGAACTATAGGACTTGTCATCTTCCGAAAGGAGTACGAAAAGTCGGGCTACAGTTTCTGGCGACTCTACTAAGGATTTAGAGAACTTGATTCAAACTTCATAATGTG